GCCTATTTTTCGAACGTGAGCCTCTGCCTAACCCACGAACGCGGACCTTGTTAACCCGGGCGACGTCCGAGCCGGTATCACACTTTGATCTGGTTACTACCATAATAATTATCTCCACAGAATGTGGGTGTGTGGTCACTCTTAGCTTCATTTCTCCCCATAGACCTTACTGGCATGGGTGTTCCTACCAGGAGCTTGTGCTCCAGCCTGCATTGCCCTATGGTTCAGTAAAATTACTGGGCTCTCCCACCACGACCAGGTGGTGACCACGGGAGAGTTATTATTATTATTATTATTATTTACAATGATAATTATGTAAAAATTTAGTTTAATAAGTATTGTATTTATCTACTTCTAAAATTTAAACTGCATTTTTTAGATGATGATAGTAATGAAGAAGAAGAAGATGATGATGATTTCAAAATTGGAAGAAATATAATTTTATCAAATAAAACGAAGAAATGCAAAAAGAAGTCAAAGCTGAATTCTTTAGAAAAATTAGCTGCTCAAAAAGAAGAACAGGTATGAATGAATTTAATTTTATACAAAAGTTTTTATTTTAATTAATCTACTTATCAGTTCACATGATTTATAAATAAATAAATAAAATAATAATAACAATAACAACAATAACATTACTGTTTAAAAAAATCTAGCAACAAATTGTGTAACTTTCCCAGCAGAAAATATTTGTTTAGGAAACATATTAGCAAAGTTTAAAAAATTGTGTGTGGTGCCATCTGTTATGAGATTTTATTAAAAAAATAATTTTTATATTATTAAAGATAATAAAAAGCAAAAGGCTTAATTTTTTGATAAAAGATATGTTTTATTTGGTAAACTAAAAACTTTTATGAGTAAAAAAATTTCATAACTTTTTGAGATATGACTCTACCCCCTCAATATCTCCAAAATCAATGGTCTAATTTTCCTGAAAATTTCTAGAAACATTTTTCTCTAATACTTAAATCTTCCTGCAACATTTCAGAAATTTTCGACACAATGCACAGGAGTTATTAAGCTTCAAAGTGGGTCAAAAAATTATACACACACACACACACACACACATTCCACACATACAGAAAAAACTTCCTAACTTTTTTGTATTTCTTGATGTTTCAAGATCTGAGTCCAAAAGTGTAAATATCTTGGAAAGTCATTTTTTGACCAATTGCTATACTTTTCCTTTTTATATAACTGTCAGAAAAGTAAAAACTTGTGAAGAAATCAAATAACATTTGATTATATAATAATAAAAAAAGAATTATTTCAAAAGCAGAGATGATTTTTCATCAATTTTATAATATACTAATATTTTGTGAATATAAAGTGAATACTCTGATCACTTTTGACAATTTTATTATTGATATCGAAATTATTTTATGTTTAATGTTGTCCAAGTTTATTATCATTACTGGACAAACGAAATAGTTGTAAAATAAAAAGTATTTATATTTATATTTTACACTTAATTTACATAGTTGGGACAGTTCATAAACACCTGTAATTGAATGTTGGGAATGACCAATGAGTGCAGGGTGAACAGATTTCTACAATTCAAAATTTTAAAAAATAAAACAAAATGTGGAATGTCATCTTTAGTTTTGATTTTGTTAATTATTATTTTGAATTAAATTTGGTAATTATTAAGTAAAAATTAAATAAAACTATTAAATTTAATTCAAAAATTATTATTTTTATTAGTTAATGTTAATATAAGAAACAGTGCAATCACCTACATTTAGAAAAAAATTATTTTTTTTATTAATTATTAATAGTTAACCAAACTATAGTTTAAATAATCTGGAAATTAATATGATTATAAATTAATTGAGTTTGATTGTTTATGTATATCTTCAATGATTTGTTAACAGAAATGAAACAGAAAAAAGAATATTTTAATGCTTGAGATGACAACTTCTAACTGTATCAGTAATTATCTTGCTTTCAATGGTTGTCCCAGAGGTTCGGCATGTACAATGGGGTCAGTTACACAAAGCTTTTATTTTTGTTCTTACAATTTTCTACCATCATGGGTTATCTGCATGAAATTACGATATAATTATTTAATTATTAAGAATTTTATAAAAAGTAATTAATATTCAGAATAACACTGTAATAGTAAGTTAATCAAACAAAAAATGATGCACTTAAACTAGAACTATATAATCAACTAACTGACACATAAATGTGAATTCCAGCACATAATAAACAAAGAAATTCTAATAACAACATAATATACATAATAAATAAGTTCTTTGTTTATTATGTGCTGGAATTCACATTTAGATGTCAGTTAGTTAACAGTAAGTTATAATAATGTAGAGCAAATTCATAATAATAATGTTTGAAAATAAATAGTTGATGCCAAAATCAATTTTTGAATGCCATTTTGTTGTATAAGCATGAAATATTAGAATTTGGTCCTTGTAATGCATAAATTTTTCTACTTTTTTTAAAATTTTAGATTTTTCTAGTCACTTGACATTCCTTTTTGAATGTATCATTTCATTTTTCTAGATCTGCTTCTAATCAAATATAACATATCAGTGAGTGAGTGAGTGAGTGAAGAACAAATTAGCAAAGTCAATATAATTTTATAATAGATATTATTACACTTTATAAAAATAATTTTATGCTCATTATAAATTAAAATAAAAATTAAAGCTAGTGTAACACCTTATCTATTTCTATCAAGAGCCCAGATAGTTTTCTAATGGTGTGTTATATAAACAAGGGTTTGGTTAGTGTAGGACTTTATGTGGGCAATAAGTAATAAAAATTGTTAATGAATGAAAAACCTGAAATAATTACTATATGTAATAATGAAAAGTCTGTTTGTTCTTTCAAGCCCAAATATATACAATAACAAAATAAAGTTAGCAAAAATTCAAAATATAATAAGAATATATTTTATCAAATCCAAAAAACAAATATATGCACAAGAAACTTTTCCTGACACTTGGAGACATAAATTAAATTATTACTATCTTAAAATTATCCCCACAAAACTGACAAGCAAAAATATGAAATTGAAATTGTCAAAACTTCATAAGGAAATCTTACAAATTAACTTTATCTAATCATCACCAAGAAGCTTCTATGTCGTCAATGGAACTTGAAAGCCTTGTTTTTACCTTGCTCAATTCTTAGCTACCTCCTTCTTGTACTGCAGTTGTGGTGACATTACATGATTACACTCACTTGACCTTATTTACATACATAAGTGGCTAATGTTTGTTTAATTCTAGTAATCTTTCTTTATCATGTCTTTGCCCTTACATTTAATCTTATATAATTTTTTTTTTGTTCTTTTTGGTGACAATTTGGGGCAGGAGATTATTCTTTTAACTTTCTCTGGAAGTCTCCTCCCAAGATATCATTGATGTTCAATGATGTAGTAGGTTGCTGCCAGCAGTCGTCATAGATTTTTCTAGCAACTTACTTGACATTCCTTTTTGAATGTATCATTTAATTTTTTCTAGATCTGCTTCTATTCAAACATAAGCTATCAATTAGTAAGTGAGGAACGAATTATAAAGCCAATCTAATTTCATATTCATCATAAAGTAAAATAAAGTTTAGAATTTAGAATTTTGTCCAGGTGAGGTACAGTAGTCTATCCTTAACAAAATAAAATGCCCTAAAAAAAGTAAGAAAACAAACTAAAAGTAAATCCCAAACAAAATATAATGGGTTGGAATCAACTCCTTACACTAGAATGCATTTAATGAAAAAAATTATTAGTATCAATTATGTTTGAATCCAAGTTGAAACAGTTCTCAAATATAAATCAACAAACTTTAGCAAATTTAATATGCTGTAGTTCTATAATCTTGTATTGTTTTCTTATACTAGAATTAGTTCAATATTATATTTAGAAAACTTTTATATAATTTTTTGAAAATAATAATTATTTTTTATTTGTAAATTAAATATTAAATTTTTTATGTATTTGTTTTTATTAATAAAATTGATAGTATGTAAGTTAATTGACAAGGAAAGTAATAATCAGTTTTTAATTTGTTCTGTATTTTACAAATCCTTCTGAAAAGCATGTTTGCTTTGAAATTAAATTTTATTCTTAAAAATTAATAAAATAATCTAAAATTACTAATCTGTATATAACCTAAATATGTCTTTAGATAAATCATTTTCGAAAACAACATCAGATTAATATTTGGGGATCAGATATTCCTGATCCAATATCTGAATTTGAGCAGTTATGTGAACGATATGAAGTATCTCCAATTATACTCAAAAATATTAAAGAATTAGGCTATGAATCACCTACTCCAATTCAAATGCAGGCAATTCCTATAATGATACATGTAAGTTTATTCATTTAAAATTTTTATTCAGTATATTTATTTTTTTGGATATTAATGCACTATATGAATATATTTTAGCGAAGGGAAGTCCTGGCATGTGCTCCAACTGGATCTGGAAAAACAGCTGCTTTTCTTATTCCAATAATTAATCATTTAAAGGTATTGATTTTATTTTTATTTTAAATTTATATTTTTACAAATGTTTTAATTCTGTTATATATTTATTTCAATTATCAATAAAATCAACTTGTGTACTATGATAGAAACAGTACATAAACATATAATAAAATTTGTATTTCATGCATATTGAACTCAACAGTGACTACATTTTTTTAATTGTTACTGTATTGTACTGACTTAATATATTGTCATATATATATATATATAATTTTTTAAATGATTGATAATTTATTAATACTACAAAAATATCAATATTTACAAAAAATAAACAATAAAAATGGTTACTGCGCATAAACTTTATTTGTAAAGCAGTTAAAAAATAAAAATGAAACTATTTATAAAGATATAAGTAATTAAAAGCAAGAGAAATAATATGGTAGCACTTAGTCTTAAAAATGAATATAAATAGACATTTATTTGAAAAATCTAAGCTAATAAGTTTTGTCTTGACTGAAAATTGCTTCAGTTTCGAAAAATAAAATGTAAGACTATTAGTACAAGAAAAGCAATAATCAATCTAAATAACACTGGTCAACATGATTGTTCACACACAGAAGAGAGAAATTGTGTCTAATAGAACTTTTTGTACTGATTTCAAATATGTGATTGAAATTTTTCTATTACCCTCTGATTTTCCGTAATCATAGACTTAATAAGTTTGCAGCTTGGCTATACTAAATTTTGTTGTTTCTTGTGTGAGTGGAACAGCAGAGACAAGAAAAATCATTATGTCAAGAAGGAATGGCCAAAGTGTGAAATGTTTATTCCTGGCCAGAAAAATATCGTTCATGCCCCATTAGTCAATGCTGACATGATTCTTCTATCTCCACTTCATATAAAATTAGGACTTTTCAAAAACTTTGTCAAGACAATGAATGTAAACAATGCTGGATTTCATTATTTGAAGGAAAAATTTCTTCACATAAGTGATGCTAAATCAAAGCTAGAGTTTTCATGGGCTTACAAAATAAGAACTTTAATTAAAGATGATAAGTTTGTAAGTTTATTAAGTGCAATTGAAAAGTCAGCATGGAAATCATTCAAAGATGTTGCACAAAATTTCTTGGCTAATCACAAAGCTTCAAATAACTGTGAAATTATGAATGAGCTCTTACAATCTTACAAAGATATGGGATGTAATATGTCCCTCAGAATGTATTTCTTGTATTCCCATCTGGATTTCTTCCCCGACAATTTTGATGCTGTCAGTGACAAACATGGGGAGCATTTCCATCAAGACATCTCTATCATGGAAAAGAGGTATCAGGGCCAGTGGAATTCAATAATGCTTGCTGATTACTGTTGGACACGCAAGAGGGATTCTCCAAATGCCAAACATAGAAGAAGCTCCACATCTCGCCATTTTAGACAAGATAAATAAATAAGTGTGTTCATGTTGTCTAAATAAATATATTTTACATTTATTACTCAAGCATCAACACACAAAAACCTTCATAATGCAGCTTTTTATTTTATTTTATTTTAGCTAGTTATTAATTCATGTATTATATTTATTTATATTTTTTGTGTATATTGGTTACAAGTACCAATATAGTTTGTAATTATTTATATATAAGCCTGCACACTAGACATATAAGAAAATTCAAAAAGTTCCAGAACAAATATCGGTTTTGAAATCAGAATCATTCGATTGTTCTGTTCCTGACAAAGGCCTTTCAAAATGGCTAAAAACGTTAGTAAATTTTGTGCATTATAAAGGTTTTTGTATGTAGATGCTTGAGTATTATACTCAAGCATCAACACACACATAAACCTTTATAATGCAGCCAATTAATTAAGTGCAGTTAAAGAAGAATTTATTTTACATTTAAACTGACTGTCACAAAAAACAGATGTTATGGAGAAAAAATATTTATATATTTGAAAATAGCATAAAAATTTCTATTTGGATCAGGTATTTTCATTTGTGTACCAAAAAAAGCTTTCATTTTGTTCCCCAGTGTAATTTACAGGGAAACAGATTGATATAAACAAAGTTTAAATAAATTAAAATATACTATCAAAGAACAATAAAATATTTCATTTCTTTAACAGATATATTTGGTTTATTCTTAATGGATAAAAATGTAATATTTACATTTGTTCAAATGGATTTAGTGTTTAAAGCAGGGGTGTCCAACCTTTTTGTTTCTCTGGGCTGCATTGGAAGAAGTCAAGGAGATTTGGGCCACAAGTTTATATAATATATACTTGTGGCCCAATATACAAGTATATTTAAGGATTAACATGTGTAGATTATAATAATAAATATTAAAACTTTATCACGAAAAAGGATATTTTTAAAAATTACTTCTATAGACACTTTCAATTTTTACTTAGAATATATATAAATTCATTTATTTTTTTTGAATATTTTTTACGTCAAACAAAAAAAAAGTAGCCACATTTGGCGCAAATGTAGCCAAATCTTGCAACGTTGGAAGAAATACTAAATAAAGCTGGAGTTGTGATTCAAAGGATTATAGGCCCAAATGAGGGGGAAAGGAGAAAAAGGACAAAAGATAAAGATGTGAGAAAGGTTGGAAAATTAAGGGTCAATATTTGCATAACAGATCTATTTACCCTTTCTCACTACTTTTTATCTTTTGTCCTTTCTCACCTTTCCCTCCTTTTCCCAAATTTGGGTCTATAATCCTTTGAGTCATAACTCCAGCTTTATTTAGTAATCCTTCCTCATTCACACATCTCCAAGTATTTGAAAATATTTCCTTTCCACTCAAAAATAAAATATGAATAAAGGTTTACGGCTTTGTGAAACTTCTTTTTTGAGTTTATGCCGTTGAAATAAATAAATAATAAAAAAATTAAAACATTTGTCAGTTTTGTTTACACGTTTATTGGGCTGCATTGGAACTTGCCTTGGGCTGCATGTGGCCCGCGGGCCGCGGGTTGGACACCCCTGGTTTAAAGTATCTAGACTATCTATTGTCATCCAAAGTATGGATAGCCCAGGACTTTACTGTCAGGAGTTACAACACCAGTTGGTAAACTGGAATAATATAATGATAAGTACATCTATCCAAAAGCCTTAATTGCATTCCAGTGAGAATTTAATTATCTAATGTTATCGATAATGCTATCAATCTACAAATGAAGATCTTCAGGTCTGTATATTTGATGATGGAATGATTGAATATAACATTGATGTTTTTTTGCAAAAATTAAACAAAATAAATTCTTGAATATATAAAAATAAAACATATAATGTAAATGTAAAAATAAAAGTTTAAAATTTACTTTAAAGTTATTGATAAGGGAATTAGTGTAAAAGTATTTTCCTTCACTTTGGACAATTGGCATTGTAAGAGGTTGTTATTGTGTTGAATGTACAAATGTTATTATCATGAAACCATAAATGACTATTTGTAGGCAGTAATTATAGCTTAAAGAAGACGTGCTAATGACATTATGCATGGCAGCATTATTGGGAGAGTTTAGAGGCTGGCCAAACTTAGAGACAAGTGTCACAGGAACTGAATGTGTTATCTGTAGGCTTTGGCAATAGTTCCAATGTAAAGCCTAGATGTTCATAGCCAATACAGTGAAGGTCACCCACATGTCTCAACTGCTTGTCGGTATCTCAATTGAATTTTCTTTATTTTATTATTAATAATAATCTATTAGATCATATATTTATTTTACTTAAAATAGAATAATAATAATAATAATCATCATAATTATACTTTCAGGAACCTCTTAAAAAAGGTTTTCGAGCCATTGTTGTTTCACCAACTCGAGAATTAGCCAAACAGATATTTAGAGAATGCATCAGATTAGCAAATGGAACAGGTTTAAAAATTCATTTCATAAATAAAGCTAGTACAGCTATCCAAAAATTTGGACAAAAATCAGCAAAAAACTTTGGTATGTGTAAAGTTTTAATTTATAAATAAGAAATTTTTTGTTTTACACCAAAACTATTTAATAATTATAAAATTTATTTAATATAAGTTAATCTATTTAAACAAACTTTATACTAATTACTTTATCATATATCTATTAGTCCTAATGGAAAGTAAAAATTAAATATTTATTTGATCATAGAAGTAAAAGCATTAAACAGATAACTCACGTAAAACTAAAGAAAATATAATTACATATTTTCTGACATCAAACTTCAATTGACAGTTTTCCAAAACATTTTTGGCCTTTCTAAAGTCAGTCATCCACAGTGCAGAAATTTGCTTCTAGACCTGAAGTTACCATTCTAACTGCTGATCTAGAAGTGAAATTCTGCACTGACATTAGAAAAGCCAAAAATGTCTTGGAATACAAAACTGTCAACTGAAGTTTAAAGTTTGTGAATAGTAATTACCTTAAACCGAGTATAAAAAATTTTATTTTGATATTTTCAAAAAGTTTTAGAATGATTTTATTATATACATAAAAATCAAAAATATAAAAATGTGTTTTATATATGTGATAAAGTTTACAAATTACAAGATGAGATATTTTATTTTACAAGATTAATCATATGTGATGTCCATGTCAAGAAAAATCATCCACACAACAACAAAGTAAAACTAGTAAAAATTAAAAGATAAACAATAAATTTGAACAGTAAATTTAAAATACATACATAGCTTTCTTACACAGCAATTTATACTCATGAAAACTGTGATGTAGTAGGTTTTTAATATTGACAATGGACCTTGAAAATCTGTTTGTAGAAAAAGATTATTTGGGAGACATTGAGCCAATAAAAAAGTGTATAAAAGCATGATGGAATTTCAAGCGTTAATGATGAAAATATATTTAGTAATAAATTTAGGTGGAATGAGATCATTAAAAAGTTTGTGATCACCAATATATATATGAGTAGTTGGCTTTCTACATACTCTGACATAGCCCTCTCCATGGCTCCTAAGAGAATGGAGAACTGTCAGTGCAGAGACCATTTTGGGTCCCTTTTCAGAGATCCTGGTTATACAAATAACAGAATGATATTGAAGAAGAAAAATAATATATAATGAAATAAATAATAATCGCCTGAAAGATTGAGCTAGAATTTGGCTAATTAAATGATTATTATAAAGCAATTTGACACTAGAGGGAGACATTAGGTGCCATCTCTTGATTAAATTTATTNAATATTAAGTTTTTTATGTATTTGTTTTTATTAATAAAATTGATAGTATGTAAGTTAATTGACAAGGAAAGTAATAATCAGTTTTTAATTTGTTCTGTATTTTACAAATCCTTCTGAAAAGCATGTTTGCTTTGAAATTAAATTTTATTCTTAAAAATTAATAAAATAATCTAAAATTACTAATCTGTATATAACCTAAATATGTCTTTAGATAAATCATTTTCGAAAACAACATCAGATTAATATTTGGGGATCAGATATTCCTGATCCAATATCTGAATTTGAGCAGTTATGTGAACGATATGAAGTATCTCCAATTATACTCAAAAATATTAAAGAATTAGGCTATGAATCACCTACTCCAATTCAAATGCAGGCAATTCCTATAATGATACATGTAAGTTTATTCATTTAAAATTTTTATTCAGTATATTTATTTTTTTGGATATTAATGCACTATATGAATATATTTTAGCGAAGGGAAGTCCTGGCATGTGCTCCAACTGGATCTGGAAAAACAGCTGCTTTTCTTATTCCAATAATTAATCATTTAAAGGTATTGATTTTATTTTTATTTTAAATTTATATTTTTACAAATGTTTTAATTCTGTTATATATTTATTTCAATTATCAATAAAATCAACTTGTGTACTATGATAGAAACAGTACATAAACATATAATAAAATTTGTATTTCATGCATATTGAACTCAACAGTGACTACATTTTTTTAATTGTTACTGTATTGTACTGACTTAATATATTGTCATATATATATATATATAATTTTTTAAATGATTGATAATTTATTAATACTACAAAAATATCAATATTTACAAAAAATAAACAATAAAAATGGTTACTGTGCATAAACTTTATTTGTAAAGCAGTTAAAAAATAAAAATGAAACTATTTATAAAGATATAAGTAATTAAAAGCAAGAGAAATAATATGGTAGCACTTAGTCTTAAAAATGAATATAAATAGACATTTATTTGAAAAATCTAAGCTAATAAGTTTTGTCTTGACTGAAAATTGCTTCAGTTTTGAAAAATAAAATGTAAGACTATTAGAACAAGAAAAGCAATAATCAATCTAAATAACACTGGTCAACATGATTGTTCACACACAGAAGAGAGAAATTGTGTCTAATAGAACTTTTTGTACTGATTTCAAATATGTGATTGAAATTTTTCTATTACCCTCTGATTTTCCGTAATCATAGACTTAATAAGTTTGCAGCTTGGCTATACTAAATTTTGTTGTTTCTTGTGTGAGTGGAACAGCAGAGACAAGAAAAATCATTATGTCAAGAAGGAATGGCCAAAGTGTGAAATGTTTATTCCTGGCCAGAAAAATATCGTTCATGCCCCATTAGTCAATGCTGACATGATTCTTCTATCTCCACTTCATATAAAATTAGGACTTTTCAAAAACTTTGTCAAGACAATGAATGTAAACAATGCTGGATTTCATTATTTGAAGGAAAAATTTCTTCACATAAGTGATGCTAAATCAAAGCTAGAGTTTTCATGGGCTTACAAAATAAGAACTTTAATTAAAGATGATAAGTTTGTAAGTTTATTAAGTGCAATTGAAAAGTCAGCATGGAAATCATTCAAAGATGTTGCACAAAATTTCTTGGCTAATCACAAAGCTTCAAATAACTGTGAAATTATGAATGAGCTCTTACAATCTTACAAAGATATGGGATGTAATATGTCCCTCAGAATGTATTTCTTGTATTCCCATCTGGATTTCTTCCCCGACAATTTTGATGCTGTCAGTGACAAACATGGGGAGCATTTCCATCAAGACATCTCTATCATGGAAAAGAGGTATCAGGGCCAGTGGAATTCAATAATGCTTGCTGATTACTGTTGGACACGCAAGAGGGATTCTCCAAATGCCAAACATAGAAGAAGCTCCACATCTCGCCATTTTAGACAAGATAAATAAATGTGTTCATGTTGTCTAAATAAATATATTTTACATTTATTACTCAAGCATCAACACACAAAAACCTTCATAATGCAGCTTTTTATTTTATTTTATTTTAGCTAGTTATTAATTCATGTATTATATTTATTTATATTTTTTGTGTATTTGGGTACAAGTACCAATATAGTTTGTAGACATAGTGTTATCACCTGTCTAGTTTTCGTCCGGACAGTCCGGGAATTGACTCACTGTTTGGGTAAACTATTAATTCTGCCTGGGAATATCGTAAGCTACCTGTCAACCTTTTTTTTTTTTCGCTTTTTTTTTCGATTCATGTTCACAGACGTCTCCACTATCCAATAAAGCTAAGTCATCTGTAGTTGGTTTTTCTTAATTTAATTACTTATGTTACTGCTACCCAAGTCTCCCTAGTCCCTAACTGTAACTGATTTAGAACCAGCATGCACAGCACATTATTCTTCACATTGCAAAATGACATTACGCATGCATCAGGAACTTCTGTTCGAACAAACCTCACCTGCTGTCTGGGTCAGCGATTTTGAAAACATGGCAACACTAACTAGACATATAAGAAAATTCAAAACATTCCAGAACAATTATTAATTTTGAAATCAGAATCATTTGATTGTTCTGTTCCTGACAAAGACCCTTTCAAAATGGCCAAAAATGTTAGTAAATTTTGAATTAAAAGGCTGAATTATAAAGGTTTTAAATTATAAAGGTTTATAAAGAATTATAAAGGTTATAAAGTTGATGCTTGAGTATTAATTAAGTGCAGTTAAAGAAGAATGTA